CTTCTATGTTGAATCAGTTTGGAGGGAGCCATTGTTACTCTTTTGTGGCTGTAAGAATGATATGGTCTGTGTAATTTCTTTTTTGGGTTTATGTGGTTTCGGATGTAGGAAAAAGCAAGACCAATTAAAAGACATGATTTTGGTTATTGTGTTCTTGTTGTAAAACCATGTCCCAAACAGATTGGTGCATTTTTGTTCTTTTTCTTTTACAATGGTGATTTTGATTCGGTTTAGACGTTAAGAGTTTAGAGTTAAGCAGTGTATTAGTACTTTGTTACTGTCACTAATGGTTCATTCTAAATAACTTGAACTAAAACAGATTAAGATTATCTAATAAAAACTCGAACTAAATTTTAATTCGGTTATACAATGAAATGGATCTATGAACCTAACCATTCAGGCTGATTTGCTTGTGATATGTCTCATCTGCGACCAAGACTTTTAGTATTGTACACATTCTTGATTGCATTATAGTAATTGATAAATAACCGACTATATTATGATTAGATGTAGTTGTATTTAGTTTTGAGATGTTGATGTTGCATCTATTTTTTTCTACTTTAAAGTTAGGTCTTAGTATTATTGAAATACTTAAGAATGTTTACTTTGACCCAAGTTGATTAGCCTAATGGCTTAATGCTCTATGTCACCACAACATCTTGCTCGTTCGAAGTCTCGTATTGGAGTCAAAAAGTGTGATTCCAAACCACTTGACTAGTAGTGTTTAAGAAAAGAAATTTTCGTTTTATCGATAGATCTTTTATTTTATTTTTAATAAATGTTTGGTCTTTTTATCCATAACATATTACTATTGTAGCATTATATTGTAAATTCATACTTTCTGTGATCTTGCCATGTTTATTCATGGCTTTTAAATATGTGTGAGGATTTTCGAAAACTTGAATACATGTTTTGCAAATCTTTTGCAAGTAATCAAGATTTGATATTAAAATGCTCAACCTCTAGCTATATCAAGTGTACTAAAGACATGATTACTTTTTTATTAGAACACTAGGCAGGTACCCGCGCGTTGCGCGGGGCAATAATATCGAAAATTAGTAATTTAAGATTGTGAATTGAGATTTTACATCCAATACAAAATTAATTACTTATTTCAAGTAACTATATACATTCAATGAAATATAATTGAACAATATAAACTAATCAATATTTAAGATTATCTATAAGATCAATATTAAACATTTAAAAAAAAAGATAATCTAAGTTATTAAGATCATAATAGACATAATTATATAATCGATGGTAACGTTTTTTCTTCGATATATAAAAAAATGTCGGATAATTTATGGAATTGGGTTATTTTGTCGAATCCAAGCTGATTCCATATGATATGTCTCGAGACGTTTGATATTCTTTTGGATCATTTCGTACTTCATATCGAGATTAGTATTTTTCTACAAAATCTTATCGTGAGCGTTAATTGTGTTTGCGCGGGAGTTATAAATTTAAAAACCATGATATGTTTTTTTATTTGATAAAATTTTTTAGCAAATTAATGGATACTTTTGTGAAAATTAAGAGGTACAAAACCCTAATATGAGAGCCTAAACTCACACAATTTTATGTAAACATTGAAAATAATACATAGATC